ATGTTTTTCAAAATTCGCCTAGGACAAGAATAAGTGGTGTTCAATAGTTTTAGGACAACTATGATGATCCACTTCAAAAATTGACTACTGTATTTCTGCTTCTAGTATGAAAGTATACGGTTTCAAATTCAGTTTAAATACATTTTACTACCACAGAGCAGCATTAAATAGTCAAACTTAAGACACATTAATGCACCCTCAGAACAATTCTGTGCCACTATTGCAGTGTAAATAGACATTATAATTGATGTCCTTGCATTTGAATAATCTGTTCCTTTCTTTCACTACAAGCACATACATGAATGTGACAAACATATTGCACTTTCCAGAAAAAAGCTGAAATAGCAGGCTTGCTTTGGCTTGCAAGATGCATGTGGGTGTAAAACTGCACATTTGTTGATTTCCCATCTTCCAAACACTGCCAGTTTGCAGTGTGTGCTGTCAAGAGTGAAAATGCTCATTCATTTCATATCTGGGTATCTCTCGGTCTAGGCATTATGTAGGTCAGTTGATACAGGCATTAAGTAAGAATGGGAGACAAAAAAGATACTAAACTAAGGTAAATTAAACATTTTAATAAATCCCTGGTTGAAAGTCTAACCCGACAGTTGGGAGTTGTCTATATTTTACCCAAATGTGGATTAAAACAAGCTTTTTTTAATATACTAGAGATGCACTCATGTTGTTGGTGTAGTTAAGTTCTGGTTTATGTATGATTTAAATAATAAAAAAAAGTATTTATTATAATTTTTATTGGTTTCTAGCTTGCACTTCCTGTTTTGTTCTTCTACTTCTTCTTGATGTTTAACAGCAGTTGGCATCCAACTTTAATGGTGCATTACCACCCCCTTCTGTACTGGAGTGTGGACTGGATTTGGACAGAGATAATCACTGTACTCTCATATTTTGTATTCACCTCTCCACCCTTTTCTTCTTTTTACTCTTTTAAACCTTAACTATACATATTACTCTCTTAATCCTATTTGCTAAACCAGTGACCTTTAAGAAATATAATAACTGTGACTTAATGTCTCTTGATGTTTTTCCTAATATATCATTTAGTGTGCACCATTGAAACCCCATTTCCCTTAATTTTTCTTTTACCATTATTCTTTCATTGTCAGATTTTTTACACTTTAGCACCACATGTTCCACAGATTCAATAATATTACAATATTCACATCTTCCACATATGTGTTTACCTATCACATGCAAGTATTTAATCTAAAATGTCCAATTCTCATTCTAGTTATATTAATTTATAATAAATAATAATTTCTTCTTTTTGATTTCTCTCAATATTCTCCAACCTTCTGTTGAATACTATATAAATGTCTTCCTTATTTCTCTTCATCCCAACTTTCTTTTGCCATTTTTCTATAATTTTCCCCCAAATCATTGTTTTAGCTTCTGCTTTACTTATTTTATGTAAACTTCTACTTCTGTCCTGCTACTGGCTTGCTTTGCTAAATTATCCACCATTTAATTTCCTTTAATCCCTACATGTGCTGGTACCCATGTAAATATTACATTTATCCCTATCTGGCAGATTCGTGTGTAGCATTCTAATAACTCATACACTACGTCTGGCCTTGATTGTGATTTAAATATTTTTAAACTTTTTAGAACAGCTCTGGAATCTGTACATATTACAACTTCATCAGGTCTGGATTCTTCAATCCACTGTAGGGCCAGCCATACACCCACAATTTCTACTGTAAATACAGATAAATTGTTAGATAATCTTTTCTGCACACTAGTTTCTAATTCTGGTATTTCAAATGCCACCCAAGTTTGTCTGTTTTGAGGGTTCTTTGACCCATATTTGTAAATTGTTAAACACCCCAAATATTCCTCCTTCAAATATTTACAAAAAACTTCACATACAGTATATTACTCTCCTCTTTTGCTTTTATGTGACTGTTTAATATAGTCAAATCTACCGTAGGCTGTTCAAGAAACCACAAACCCTGTTTTGTTGTTTGCTTTGGTCTCTTACATGATTGCTCATCAATTGATTAATTAGTCATCACCTGTACCTTGTTTAACTGCAAATTACCCTGTGTTTATAAACCCTCCTCAGGTTAGTGTTAGAGTGGCTTAATGTTACTTTTCTTTTAAGATGTTATGATTTCTTGCTTATATCTGAGGTTTAAATTATTATTTTTCATTTTTTTTAATTATTATTATTTGCTTAAGTTAAAATTTGCCTGTGATTATTCCCATCTTCTCTCTTTTCCAGGTGTGTAAAATACAAGACAGTATAAAATGTAATATTGTTTTTTGGCAGACTAAAGTTGGGGTTTGTGAGTTATTTGCATTATGATATTATTGACCATAAGGACACATCACTCTGTGCCAACAGACACATGCTGAGAAACAAAAGATTACAGTCACTAATTAGACATTCCACAATTCAACAAATGTCCAGTGAACTTCAATTGGTAAACATGTGTGTAAATCAGTTTTAACAATTGCTGACAGGGATAACACACTGATCTGACAAAACCTGATGTGTGCTTGCTGTGCGGTGGGAAATAAGAATTGGCCTTTAAAAATGTAATACCTGTCAACCTCAAGCTATACAATTCCAAAATCATCATGACCTTATCATTTTATAATGTTCCCAATATGATTGTGAATTAGTCTAATATATATACATACATACATACACACAGTAAATTATAGTTGCATGACCTGATATGTGAGGATATAGATTTCACTAAGTTCATATTAAGTTTAGCCTTTGACGATGCTTTTGAATTAATTTTAAAATCATTGATGTTTTTTTGTGTATACCATCAAATTGCTTTTAGCCATTTATAACAAATCCTAGGTTCTGTAGCCTGGTTTCCATGCTAAAGGAGTCTCTACTAATATCAAAACCCGATCTAATACTTCTATAATACATAAAAAAGAATAAAGAAAAGCGTAGAAACAGACCCAGGGATGGTTCTTATTCATTCATTCATTCATTCATTTATTCATTCATTTTCTTTCCGGCTTAGTACCTTATTAATCAGGGATTACTACAGTAAAATGAACCACCAGCTTATCCAGCACATGTTTAACACAGCGGATACCCTTCCAACTGCAACCCATCACTGGGAAACACCTATACACGCTCATTCACACACATTACCTACAGATAATTTAGCTTACATAATTCTCCTATAGTATATGTCTTCAGACTGTAGGCAAAATCGAAGCACCTGGAGGAAACCCACGCGAACAGGGAGAACATGCAAACACCACACAAACATTTTGTTATGAGACAACAGTGCTACCCACTGCGCCACCATGTCGCACAGGATGTTACTTATTTTTATTCAATTCTCCTTATTTTAACATTCAATATCTCTGCTAACAAACACAGCTCTTCTGTGAGGTAGCTTGAATAATCTAATAATAAATAACAAATTTATAAGTCACTTTTGGACTCTAGTGCAACAGTAAATATATATAAAAATCTAATATAAAAACAAATAGCTCCTCAACTTAAAATACCTGGCAGGCAGTCCCAAGTTTACATATCTCACAGTTTGTTATGGCAATGTTGTCGTCATCAACTTTATAATACCTCCAGACCGCAGACATACTCGTGCTTTCCGCTTCAAGCTGCTTCTGTTTTACTGGATTTAACCAATAGCATCTCTACAACAAAGTGATGTCATGCAGCATGCATTGCTGTTTCTTTGTCAAAAATGAGGTCTAACTCTGTGCCACACCATAACTATAGATGTGTTAAAAAATAATGAGAATATGTTTGAAACCGCGTGATCGAGCTCGATTTCCAGTCACGTGGTCGGATTTGAACATTCCTAGTTTCCATCAAGTTTTTTAGAGAGGCTCACTGTAGTATTTGTAACCAAAAGAAAACAAGGCAAACAATGATTGCTTAATATGTAAGAGTTCATTTGGCTACGGTGTTTCCATCTCCTGTTATTTACATTAACCCTTTTTCACAAGTCCTTAACCACCTCAAATGAGTGTAAAAATAATTTAGCAAATGAAGGGATTTTTATTCAAAATTTGGCAATGCCAACACTAGTTTATCATGCAATAATTCAAACTTCCCATTAGCACAGGGTAATGGATACCCAGCTAGTGTTGCTGTTCCCAAAATATTAGGATCTGTTTTTCCACATCCAACCTAAAATCAGTTAAATTAGATCTTATAAAAAAATAAAAGCTTTCTCACTCGGAAGCGTCCCTCTGTGATGGGCTCCCCTACCTGAGAAGTATTTCACGGGTCGCTGTGTGAAGGCAGGTGGGCTAAATGGCAAGAAGGGAACTGACAGATTCTTTGAAGATGCCAATTAGACAAGCTGCCATTTAGATCAAACACACCAAGCCTTTCTCACTGCAAAGCCATGGCATTTATCAGCAATCCCTGCTTGTTAGAGAACAGACTGAAGGCTGAAAGTTGAAGGTGTCCAGCCTTCCTAACAGGATAATAGAAGCCTGCAAAAGGTGAAACGCTCTAAAAGCAAAAGGTCTCAAATCTTTATCATTTTGACTATTTCTGTGTAATTCCTAATTTTGATACGTATAGAAAAAATTGCATCTAGTCAACATGGGACCCTAAAATGAACAGTTTCGATTTCCCCAGACACCAGAACTAATCAAACCAGAGGAGGTTTCATTATTTTCAAACAGACCCTTTAAGACTGAGTATTTGCATTTAATACGATGGGTTCTTGACTTCAAGTCAAGCTGAATGTGAAAAACTGCTAAAATATGGCAACTTATTCTTGACTGTTTTATCTTCAGGATCTCTAACTGGCTTTTAGTGTGGTTATCAGCTCATGCTACACTGAGGCCTTTAAAGACTGTGGAAAAAGATGGTGGAATGAAATCCATTAAAGAGGCAGAGCGCTTCTCTGTCACAGCCGATAAAGTGATCTCATTACTGATTGCACACACTCTCTTCTCCAACCTAAAATGTACATACAACATATATTCACACAGACTCAATAGAGAGGTAAAACGTGACTTACTGAGGTGGGGAATCTGGGTACATGACGTTGACTTGAGACAGAGTCTCCACATAAGAGTCAAAGTCAAAAGCAGGAGGAAAATCCTCAACACAAGTGGACCTCAGCTCTCCAATGGAGCCACCATATGAGAGGCCATCTGGAGCTGTAGAAACAACAACAAAACCAGCAGAACATCAATTACTAATGGTTGTATTGGACATTTGAGAATGCTAAGTCTTGCTTATGCCATTATTTTATGAATCCATGCAATTTCATAATCATGATATATTTAATTTCATTTATTTATAATGTATATTAGGGTTGGGCGATGTTGACCAATTTGGAGGAATGATGGCATCGTCGTCATAGGCGGCAGTGAATTAATTATTTCTGAATAATTCATTCATTAATTATTTACATATTATTTACAATTAATTCATTCATAATGAATTAATAATTTGGGGCCAACCGTTTTAACTGCCTGACCAGCATGGTCTTTGTTTTACCCATAACCAAATCATAAATAAATAAAGATAAGTTACACCCAAATTACCACCTGTCAATCACTTTTTCTGTGCAAATCTGGCATGAATAGGCAGTGATCTGTGTCATTATAATGACGTTGACAAACTTGGTTGGTAAAAAGGTGCACAACCAACAGCAACCAACCAACAGAACCTGAGGTTTTCACTAAAATGACAAGCGTGAAAGCGAAAGATTGAAGCAGTGTACTGATGCTGTAACATGTTACCTGATGTATTCAAAAGACCGAAGAGACATTAGATAGAGACAAGATTAATTAAGTATCACGTTTTATAATCATAGTGAGACATGATCTAATATACTGTATATATATTATTAGTGGTGGGCCATTATCAGAGTTAACGTGCTGTGTTAACGCGAGACTTATAGCGTGATAAAAGAATATCTCCGCTAATCTATTCTCAAAGTTGGGTTGGGAGCTAGATCTATTCTACGCAAGCTATAATGACTTTAACCTTGATATTTTAGCATGGATGTATACCTGTCTGGTGAGCCGTCTGACAAAAAAGTGCCCTTCAAATCAGCAGGATGCCTGACTTTAACTGCAGTTTGGCAGTTTCACTATGACTCATGAACATTTCCTTCATGCCATCATGAGAAACTGGGGTATTAGATGCAAATAAGGAGTAAGGACTGGTGAGGTTGTTATGGAATTTAATAACGCAAGCCAAATGGAAAGAAAAAAAAAACTTCTGCATTTTGAATATGTGTGTGTGTGTGTTTGTGTATGCAGTCTTTTACTGACAGCCGCGTGTGTGGATCTTGTCGAAAAATATGGCAAAAAGTCCTGCATGACGGTAATAGTTTGATTCAGTGTTTACTTCAATAATGCCACTAATAACTGCATACTCCACATCTTAATTCCATTTCTGTTTACTTCAGTTATGACTTTAGTCGGATTAAGGTAATCAAAAATCACTGTTTGAAGCTTATGTAGGCCTACAGTTCAAAATTCATGCTTAACTGAATAAACAGTTAGTAAAAAAGTGCATCTTATTGAACATCATTTATATTCATCACTAATAATCATAATAGAACAGTTTCCCAAGCAGTTTGTGATGCATTTTGAAAACAGGAGATGAGCCCCTGGTCTAATGCGCCACCTGGCTTGAGAAACCCGTTCTCAAAGACTTTTGATTTGGGCAGCATACATATTCTGAATGCCTTCGGCAGAATTCAAATGAGCAATTTTGATCTGAATTAATCTAGATTTGTTCTAAAATTAATCTAGATTAAAAAAAAATTATATGTCCACCTATAATATATATATATATATATATATATATATATATATATATATATATATATATATATATATATATATATATATTATTATTATTATTAATAACATTAATGAATGCAAGCACAAACATCAAAATTAGCACACAGATGCTGTCAATTAAAAAAAATTATAATCTTCCTCAATAAAAAAGTTAATTCTAATCTCTTACATTAAAGATTATAATACTATGACCGCAGTTCATGATACACCATTGACCATTCTAACACACAGTACAAATTAAACAATCAAATATTTTGTAGTTTATAGTAAAGTCTCCCTGGAGATCTCAACCATATCACTAACCCCTGGACAAGGTTAATTGATATACACAGGGCTATACAAGGTCTAGCTTTTCATAAAAAATAATTCCATGAACTCTCAAACAAGGGCTAAAACACAGAAAGATGGTTTCTTCACTGCTTTTTCAGAATAATAAATGGTTTGGTAACCGTTTCCCATGAATAAAACTATTTTTAAATACCATGCCTTTGTTTTGTATGGCATCCATTTGCCCAATCAACATACACTTAAGTCACTATAGTTCATGCTGGGCTGGATTAGACCCTGCTTTAAAGCTAGTAGAAGCTAATTTGGTTCTTTTAAATCACATTTCCTAAAACTTAAATCTGTTCCAATGTTGGAAACAAATCAAATAATAATTTTTCATATTGACATAAGATTATTTTGCTCACCAAATTTCCAGATTATTTTGCTTGTTTTAAGGAAAAACTACATTTTGTTTGGGCATATAATTTCTGAAAACAGGACATTGTTTTGCTTGAGTGGAAAAGTCTTGATTTAATCATTTTTAGATATTTAGAAATGAAACAAGACAAAAATCTAAGTAGGAAAAGCATTTTTTGCAGTGTAATCGTGTTAAGTAATGCACCAACTGACCATAGCTGGCACGCAGATGTGGGTTGCGCAGTCGACTGTCCTTGCGCAGACTGCCCACAATGATGGTGACGCAGGACAGAAAGAGCACCAGGCCGATGACGATGCCAGCCACCACCAGAGGGGACACCAGCAGACTGGCTTCATTTCCCCCTTCTTGGCAGTCCGGGTACTCAGGAGCATGACTGCTCTGGTTTGAGCTCACTGTGAGGATGAGATGGTTGATGTGTGGAGGTCAGAAAGAATGAAAAATGAAAGGAAACAGGAGAGAAAGAGAAGACGGATGGTCAGTTACATTCATTCACAGAAGCTACATCAGTGGTTCTCAATTCCAGTCCTCACAACACACCACTATGCACATTTTTCATATTTTTCTCGTCACTTCAGATGTTTGTTTGTTTGTTCAAATTTTGGATAATCTGCCATTATTTTAGATCTAAGGGAGGGTGTTTCCTTCAAACTGTTTTTTATTGTGCGAAATGCTTTTAATTGTATTTATTGGGTTCTCTTCTATATGTATATGTCTGTGTTTGTAATTATAAATAATTATAATTATAATTCTGACTTCAACTATGTGAAATCCAAACATGAACTTGTATGCCATATATGTCATTTGAATTTATTGCCATGAATCAGATTTTTATATGGGCAGATTTCTCATTCTCGGGTAGTAGAGAGCAATGAACACTGCAGGGGTCCTGTCAAATGAAACCCAGTTCTCATCTAATGAGCTGATTTCCTGAATCAGGTGAGTTAACAGAGACAAACTAAACGTGATGGGGTGTGAGGACTGAGTTTGAGAAACTCTGTGTAACATAAAACAGAGGAGACCTTTTTTTCTATTTCCTACACGAATAGAGAGATCACACTGGTGTGGGATTATGCCATTTTCCATTTAAGAACCCTGCTCTGAGATGCACAAACACATACACACACCTACCTGTCTGTGGACCGCAGATCAGGAATACTCCCCAGACTTTCATCCCTCAGTGGATTAGATGCTCAAGTCTGCAGTGTTTAATTTTTAATCCTGACCGGTTTGAATTTTTAAATATGTGAGGTGGAAGACTTTCATGTCAGCTCGCAAGCGACAAGCCCAACTCCGGCCATTAGCTCCTCTCTGACTCCCTTCACCCTTTCCATTAGGACCAGAAAGAAATCAAAATAAGCCACACACTCGCACAGGGATTCAATAAAGCATATTGGAGAAGATTGTGATATTAACACACTGTGTGCTTGAGGCCGTCCTGGAGATAAACAAGACAGAAATCAAATCAATGATTCTATGGGGCACCAGTGCTTCCGTGGAAAGCACATTTATTCTGAGAACAAAAGAAACCTCTGGAATTGTTCTGTGTGACATATTAATTCTCCTGAACTCTATGAGCCTTTAAAGCCTCAAAGTCTTGGCAATGCACATTGCTAATCAAAATTATTGTTATTTTAATATTTATAATAATGAATTCACAAAATGGCTTCCTGAAACAGACCTTTTAGCTAATATTTGAATTATTATTTGGCAAAAAAGAAATATTGATCATATTGACTATATATGTCAACATATATTGGTTATTCCCAGAAATATACCTAACCCAGGCAACATAAGACATAGTTACTACACACCCAAATTATAGTTCAAATACAGCTGATCAAAACATTATTCATTCATTTTCTTTTCGGCGTAGTCCATTTATTAATCTGGGGTCACCACAGCAGAATGAACTGCCTACTTATCCAGCATATGTTTTAGGCAGCTGCCACCCATCACTGGGAAACACCCATACACACTTATTCACACACAATTTAGTTTAACCAATTCACCTCCATGTCTTTGGACTGTAGGAAACCAGAAAGCGGAGCACCCGAAAAAAACCCACGCGGACATGGGAAGAATATGCAAACTCCACACAGAAATTTTGATATTATGTATAATATCAAAATTAATTATTATTCATGTAAACAGCCAATAATAAAATATTTAAATAACTAACATGAGTTATTTTAACAGTACATTTATGTCAGGCAAAAGAGTCAAACGGTAAACAGGAGGCTCAATTCAGGTTTTACACACTGCCTGAGATGCATTGTGTGTGTGTGTGTGTGTGTGTTTCCTCATTATAAACAGTACAGTTACTGGTTTGTTTAGTATACTTTTGCTCATAAATGGTTTGAAATAATTCAAACTATAGCTACAGCTCTGCACAAGATTGACCAGAGGAAAAATGGTCGTGCCCAACTGAGCCTGGTTTCTTTTTTTCCTTCACTTTCACCAATGTTGTTACTGGCTTGTTTAGTTGGGACTTGTGGAGCTGTGCATTGATGGATTTGCTCTTTAGTGTTTGGACTTTCAGCAGTGAAATTTAAACCGCACTGAACAGAAAAAAACTGAACTTCAAAATCGAATTGCAATTTTAAAAGTTGCGATTAGCTAATTGCAAGAAGCTGCGATATGAAATATGTATTATTTAATTTCCCCCACTCAGAGCAAATGCGTGCATGGCATCTGTGTGTGATAGTCTTACTAGCCAATTTGGTGAGCACACTTTCGTTCTGCCCAATCACAATTGCTCAGTCGAACTATGTGGAATGGCAAAAAAAAAAAATGTGCGGATGAGTGGAATGAAGTCTGCTGCTTCAGAAGCATAAATAAACTACTTAACATCAAAGAAAAACAGGACACTTGTAATATGGGAATATTTTAGTTTTAAAGTCACACCAAATTAAAGTTTAATGTCTTGATATTGGTGACGCGGTGGCACACTAGGTTGTGCTGTCACCTCAGAGCAAGAAGGTCGCTAGTTCGAGCCTCGGATGGGTCAGTTGGCGTTTCTGTGTGGAGTTTGCATGTTCTCCCTGGGTTCGTGTGGGCTTCCTCTGTGTGCTCCAGTTTTCTCCACGGTCCAAAGACATGTAGTACAAGTGAATTGGTTAAGCTAAATTGTCCATGTGTGTTAATGAGTGTGCATGGATGTTTCCCAGAGATGGGTTGCAGCTGAAAAGGAATCCACTACGTAGAACATATGCTGGATAAGTTGGCGGTTCATGCCGCTGTGGTGCCCCGAGATTAATAAAGGGACTAAGCCGAAAAGAAAATGAATAAATGTTTTGATATCGTCATATGTATTTCGCATGCATTCACAGCTTGTGATGCAGGTATGTGCCTCTTCTGCCGTGACTGACTGTAATGTACTATAATATTATAATTTGTCATTTCATTTACACAGGACAGTTATATATAGATGCATAAGATGAAGAATATTACAGCAGTTTAACGATTTAAAAGCTTTAATTCATACTGAATTACGTCATTCAATGTCACTATATGCATGACTATACAGAGAGTTAAGGACCTACTAACTACAGTTTGCTTTAAGAACATGTAAGTAAATTTAGTTACAAACTAGCTAGTAGTTAAAAAGCCCCTAGTGTGGATTTTAACTTCCAGTTTAAGAAAGAACTTACGAACAGCTGGTGCAACCCTACCCAGGAGATAACTAATGCCATAACGCACTACCTCGCTAAAGACCTGGCTTTAATGCAGTGACCAAAGAGGGATTTAAAAAAATCGAATGCAGGATAGGCGACATACACTGCTAACTCGCACATATTTTAGCCATTTTGGAGCACTACAGCTGTACATTTAACGTCATGATATTTTGTGTGGCATCTGTGATAATTTTGTTTTAGACAATAAAGCTTTTATCAGCCATATTAGTTTGCTGAGTGTTCTGTATTTTTTCCCCTATTTTTTGTTTGTATAATAAGCTACACTCCCTAATTTGAGTTCATCTTGTTTACAGAAAGTTAAGGTCATTTTATTTGTGCTTACTGTTTGCTCTAGAGAAAAATGAGTGTTTAATTGCTAAATATTTAACACAAATTTGAATAAATGTTTAAGTAAGTTAATATCTTTTAGCAATAAGAAGCTATGATACAGATTATTGAGCTGAGGCTTGACTACAAAATTAAATTGCAAATCAAATCGAAATCACAATATGTCAAGAAAAATCACAATAAGATATGTTCCCCAAATCGCACAGCCATACTTTCAACTCTGAAAACTTGAATGACACGATTTCAATTTATTAGAACTTCTATGTTAAGCTGCTTTGACACAATCTACATTGTAAAAGCACAATAGAAATAAACATGAATTGAATTTAATTGAATTTAGTTATACATGACTATTTTCTAAACTGTTTACCTGTAGCTAAACACTACAACTATCTAACATGCTACAAAAAAGCAGTAAGTAAACGATTTGTGGAAAACTCCATATTAGTAAAGGTGTTCCATAAAACATGATCAAAGTAGCTTAAAAGAACTGTATATCGTTTTTTTTAACCTCAGCCACTAGTGATACTGATAACAATTATGTGTATTCACTCAATTCTGAACATCTGCAAACCCATACATTTTCAGGTTGATGTGTAATTTGGGTTTAAACCACACAGACATATTGAAACTTTTGCACTCGGAGAAAATCATCTGTGCTGTGAAGAAAACACTTGGCAAAGAAACCGAGGTGCTAAATGTTCCTCTGTTGTTATCAAGCAAAGTTGGAAAACAGGAGTAGGCTACACTTCTGCTAAAATACCTCAGTGCTGAAGTGACTCTATAGAAGCACCAGTTGTGAATTAGAGTTCATTAATTATCGCTTATCACAAACCTCAAAATTAATTAAGCATCAGAATTGAGAAAATAAGCTGCACTGTCAGTCAAGCAGATAATAACATGCACAATAATAATAAAAAAAAAACATTTGGGAAAATGTGATTAGGTTAATTCAGCAAAGGTGCTTTTAAAAATGGCAGCACATTTATATTTAAAATTAATTAAAATTCAGCTGTTTTGAGCATTATTTATCAATGAATCCTAAAACATGTAAACAAATATATAATGATTAAGTGTTAGTATTTCACAATATAGCTTTTAACTGTGCTTTCAAGAGTTCACAATTAGCTGATGATTGATTATAAAGCTTGTTTGGCATGCTGTCCCAGGAGAGAGGCCTGAGCTCATAAGATCCTCGAGCCTGTGGCTCCCTCACGTTTGCAAGGCAAAAGCTCAGGTAGATCTCGAGAACTACCCTGCTATAGTAGCTAATGAACAGATAGAGGTAGCTATTAAGAGATAACTACTTACTAGGAGCCGGAGCAACACGATTCTGGCTAAAATGAAAATCGCGTTTTTTTTTCCTAAAA